CCCGCTCCGCCCCGGCCCGGCCCCCGGAGCGCCGGCAAGGGCAGCCTGCGCCGGGCGGGCGGGCCCGGGGACAACACTCCCGCTGGGTGTGCGCGCAGGTTGCGTGTGTGTCCACACTGATGCCAGGTGCGGGCACAGGTTGAGTGTGTCTGTGTGTGTTCCTGCGCGCTGATTCCAGGTCTGGGCACAGATTGAGTGTGCGTGGCCGCATCGACTCGAGGTGCGGGCACAAGTGCAGGTGTGTACACACAGATGCCAGGTGTGGGCACAGGTTGACTCTGTGTACGTGTGTGTGCGCTGATTCCAGGCATGGACATAGGTTGAGTGTGCATAACTGTGTGGGGGGGGGATGGGGTGCATGTCCACACTGATTCCAGGTGTGGGCACAGGTTGTCCGTGTATGTACACACAGATACCAGATGTGGCTGCAGGTTGTGTGTGTGTGCATGCGTGCCGATTCCAAGTGTGGGCTCAGGTTGTGTGTGTGCGTGCAGATTCCAGGTGTGTACACACAGATGCCAGGTGTGGGCAGAAGTTGAGTGTGTGTGTGTGTTTATACGCTGACTCCAGGTGTGGGCACAGGTTGTGTGTGTGTGTGTGTGTGTGTGTGCATGTCCACACTGACTCCAGGTCTGGGCACAGGTTGTGTGTGTGTGTGTGTGCATGTCCACACTGATTCCAGGTCTGGGCACAGGTTGAGTGTGTATGTTTGTGTGTGTTCATGCGCACTGATTCCAGGTCTGGGCACAGATTGAGTGTGTGTATGTGTTTGTGCATGGCCACATCCATTCCAGGTGCGGGCACAAGTTGTGCAGGTGTGTACACACAGATTCCAGGTGTGCGCGCGCACGCGCGCACACACACACACACACACACACACGCAGAGTCAACCTGTGTCCACATGCTGATTTCAGGTGTGGGCACAGGTTGAGTGTGCGTGTGTGTTTGTGTTCGTGCGTGCACGTCCACACCAGTTCCAGGTGTGGGCACAGGTTGTGTGTCTATGTACACACAGATACCAGATGTGGCTGCAGGTTGTGTGTGTGTGCACGCATGCTGATTCCAAGTGTGGGCACAGGTTGTGTGCATGTGTGCATGTACACCCAGATTCAGGTGTGGGGTCACGTTGCTTGTACCTGTAGATTCCAGCTCTGGACGTAGGTTGTGTGCACATGTGTGTGCAAGTTCCAGGCAGAAGCTGTGAAAAAGTCTGACTATTTTTCTTCTTCGGGGGGAAACAAAAAAAGAGTCCAGTTAAAGCCTTGCCAGGCCTCTTTGTTCCAGCCATGGTCGTTTATAGCATGCGTACCTGTGACAACCATGCATCTGTTTTTGAAGGACTTCTGCAAGAGCAGGAGCAGTCAGAGGCTCCATGTGTATATTTTTGCTGCACCCTCCTTGACACGCTCCAGCTGTCTGTGTGTTTGGGCTAGAGATAGAGGTGCTGTATATGCATCTTGCTTGCTTCTGCACAGGCTCTAATTTGCAGGGAGGCAGCTTGTTTTACAGCTTGGTACAGAAATAAGCAGGGTGCTGATATAAACTGCAGATACTGACTATTTAGGATAATTATTATTATTAAATATGCAGCTATTAGGATAATGACTGGTCCCCTAGCCTGTACCTCTTCGAAGTGTTGTCATCTTCCCGGTGTTCCCAGCACCTTATGAGTTGCTCAGCATCCTCCAGGACCGGGTACTGCATGGGGATTTACAAAAGACCTGATCATCAAAGGCCTGGGACTAGATAACGCAGACCTGTGCTGAGCATCTTTAAATCCAAGATCCTTTATATGCAAGATGACAGCTGAATGCTCTTGGCACTTGGCAGGATTGCTTCAACGTCTGGGATTGGATACTGATGTTTCCATTCCTTTTTGTGGGAAACTCAGTTTTTCCTTGCGGTTTATGTGGACTGTCACAATGCTGGGGTTTGACGATTACATGGGAGAAATGTTTTCAACTTTTCAATGCATGTCCCAAATGCTTCCTCTAAGGACTCCTTTCGCTGTATTTTTGGATTCAGCTCCCGTTCAATATTGTTTATGTTTAGTCTTCTGTTTCTGTTGCAGTACCTCTAAAGCCAGAATCTTCTACTCTCACCCACTTTCAGCGCTCTCATTCAGCTCTCAAATGGCCATACGGATAAGGGTAAGGATGGCAAAAATAGGCCCTTTTGGGCATGTTTTGTAGTGAAATAATGAAAAGGTTTTCTTCCTCCATGTCAGAATACATCTTGCATCTCTAGAAAAGTGCATAATTTGCATAACAAGAACTCTCCTAAGTTTTTTGCCTGTTGCTTAAACTCAGGGCTGGATCCAAGGTCACAACCCCTTCAGTTGTGTGATGCAGGTCAGTACTGGCATGTCAGCACAGCTCTGGCTGGAGCCTCACATGTGCCTTGAGCTCTGGGCTTACCCTTTGGCCCGTGCAGGTTTGAGCTATACTTTCACACAGCTCTAGAGTTCAGGAGATGAGCATCACCCTTCCTTCCTTCCTTCCACCCTACCCCTTTCTCATGAGGCTGCAGTGGCAATGCATAGGGGGTGCACGGGAGTGCACGTGCACCGCCTGAAAGCAGTGGTACACCCCCTGACAGCCAGCGTTCCCAGGGAGGGTGGCAGATGAGAGCTCTGGTGCCCCCCTGAGAGCACCATCTAGGGAGTGAGGGCACCAGGAGAAGTGATCCCTGCAGTCCCCCCACAGCCAATTACGCTCACTCAGAAGTGCCAGCACTGCTGCCACTTGTGGGTCTGCAGGATTCGTTGTGTGGGGACTTCCCCTGCTTCCCCTCCAGTCAGCAGGATTGGCAGGATTGGGCCCCCCTCCGCCCTCCGGTCTCTGGTTGCTTCAGGGACAAGTGCCTCCCTGACTCAGGAGATACCAGTCGCCCATGTGGGGCCCCTATTATAAATATCTCTTATCTGCATATAAAAGTGCATAAACAGTTTAAATCCATAGCATCTTCCAGCCCTGCTGTCTATTTTCCAACCTAGTAGTACTCCATTTTACTGCATCATCAGTGAAACTGATAACACATCTAAATTTCAAGGGGTCTAGGATAGTCTTGAGCTAAACAGGTCCTGACAATTTCAAAGCTACTATAAAAGGCACCAGGCATCCTTGAAACATGGTAGAGATGTTAATGAGGTGCAAAAACCTTAGGGCGAGCTGTTCCTGTGATTAATGAATATTGTTTACCTTGAGTTCTTGTAATTAATGAGCATTCTTTACATTGAAAAGCATTCTTTACATTGAGTTCCTATGCCCCAGGTAAGTACATAGCTTTGAAGCTGTGGACTACAACAGAATTTTCTGCGTACATGTTTATCTTGCTCCTTCAAGTTCACACTCAAATTCCAATTCAGCAGTTGTGCTGTACAGAAAATTAATCTTAAAGACTTAGGTTTCTTCATAGTAGAACAGACCAGTGAGTCATCTAGTCTAGTTATCTGTATAAGTGACCATTGCCAGATGCTTCAGAGGAGAATGCAAGAAAACACAGTGCAATAGCCTGGCCCCAATGGAAGTTTCTTCCAAAAGTCTGCCAGATGTTGTAAAATATACAGGCTTGCATCCTTTACTACTTTTAAAATTCTAATAGATGTGAATATTCTTACTATCCAAGCAAATGCTACAAAGCCCTCAGCTTCAGTAACTGGTAGCAGTAAATTCTTCCAACCAATTGTCTCCCACCTAAATGTATTTCAGGGTCTTTTCATTCTAAATTCCCTGTCTTATGTTGAGAGAAATACTGTCTCTTCTCTTCCAATATTGGAAGAACATAGTCTCTCATTTTCTTTTTCTGTACTGTTCATTCAACACATTATGTCATTGCTTGATCTCTTTCTCTCATATACCTGCTTACCTTGGAAAGTTAGCCCAAGAGCTACAATCTCAGAATTTATTGGAATTTAATCAGAATTGAAGCCAAGTACTGAGCAGCTAAGTCTGGTTTCTGTTTAAAACATTTAGACTTGGAGAATGATCTTATACATTTTGCAAAAATACTTTTAAAAGTTCCCTTATTCCTCCAGTAGAATTGCTGCAATACTTTTCTTTCCTGATTTAATCATTTCACTTCTTGTTACTGAATCTTCAACCAATTTATTTCTCTGCAGACAGAATTCAATCGAAGCCACTATTAGCAGCATATATGCTAACATTAATTTGCCTCTTTCAATATACACTATTGTAGACCCACTAATCTGCAGTATTGCCAATCCCAAATGTTCAAAAATAATGAGTCAGACACTAAAGAAATTGTGAGTCAAGCTTTAAAATGATGACATTTAAAATTGATTTATATTATGATGATTATGATTATTAGCCTTCTGCTTTTTGGAGCTTTTATAGGTCATGTTTTATGCTTCTCCTTAAAATCATGAGAGAGAAACTTCTTTAAAAATATTCCTAATTCTTACATAGCTTGGGGCTATTAACAAAAATAATAAATAAGAACATAAGCACTTTACTGGATCAGACCACAGGTTCAGTTAGCCCAGATACATCTATCCTGTATCTCTCAGTGGCAGAGAATGGACACCAAGGGAAA